TCTATTCTATTCTATTCTATTCTATTCTATTCTATTCCATTCCATTCTATTCTAATTCCATTCCATTCCATATTTTCTATTCTATTCTATTCTATTCTATTCTATTCTATTCTATTCTATTCTATTCTATTCTATTCTAATTCCATTCCATTCCATTCCATTCCATATTTTCTATTCTATTCTATTCTATTCTATTCTATTCTATTCTATTCTATTCTATTCTAATTCCATTCCATTCCATATTTTCTATTCTATTCTATTCTATTCTATTCTATTCTATTCTATTCTATTCTATTCTATTCTATTCTATTCTATTCTATTCTATTCCCATTCCATTCCTTCCTTGTGGCATCCCCTATCCCGTCATCCATGGTCCTATGTTCTCTACATCCAGTTCTTGCAACCGTTCATCATGAGGTTTAACCTCCAGTCCCCAAATCACCTTTGTTGCTCTGCTCTGGGCTTTCTGCCCGAAGTGATGCCAAGCGGCTGGGGAATGGCAGCCTGGCACAAACCAAGGCTCCTCACAGCAGGAACTGCCCTCTGAATGTCTCGTTGCACCCAAGCAATGGAGTTCCGGCCTGCTGCTGTGGGCGCCGCACGGACTCCCTGGGCGAGCCCTCGCCCAGGATGCCAGTTCCCTCCGCAGAAAGGGGCAGCGCTGCCCGTGGGAGGCAGGTCAGAGGCCCGATACCAAGAAGAGTGGCAGGGACACGCCGGCCTCCAGCACGGGGACCTGGTGGCTCTGCTCCCATCCGGATGAAAGTGCCATCCATCACTTCTGCCCAGGGAGATGCCAACCAAGCCCTGGAGGAGGGCAGTGTGTCAATGCTGGCGCTGCTCCTCTGGGTGGGAAACTCCGGAGCCCTGGCTGATGGAGAGAACTGCGGGGGGGGACCCAGCCCCACCCCCATTGTCCGGCCAGGTATATAGGGCAGTCAAGGTGGGCTGGCTTGGCATCTTCCAAGACTCTTCTACATCTACAACACCATGAAGTCTCCGTCCTTCTGGCTCCTCCTGGGGATGGTCACATCCACGGCTGAGCAAGGGAGGGGAGGTGAGTGGGTGCCTTTGCAGCTCTCCAGTTGGTGGTCAGGCCCAGCCGAGAGGGTGGTCCTCGTACTCCAGACCCTGAAGGCCCTCCCCAGGGGCATGGCACCTAATGGGGCTCTGAGCCTGATTGCCGTGCCAAGGAACCAGCAGTTTCTGTGGAAGGAGTTCCTGGGTGTGGCACCTCCCTGGACGTGGTAACTGAAGGGGGGGACCCCAGAGGAAAGATGGCACTGGGAAGACAGAGCGGTGGGGTCTCTGGCAAAGAATCTACAGCAGGGGTGGGATGCCGCTGGTATAACAACCGGTTTGGTGAGTGAGCACTTTCAAACGCCCCCTTTTTCAGCTAAAACTTCCCTTCTGCTGCAGCTGCGGTGAGTAAAAACAGCCGATTCGCAGCAATCCACTGTGCCATGCAAATCAGCTGGGGTGAAAAACAAGGGAATACAGGACAGACGGACCGCAGGGGTGGTTGGGTGGGGCCAACTAATTGCCAGAACTACCGGTTCACCTGAACTGGTCCATACCGGCTAAATCCCACGCCTGATTGACAGGAGTCCCTACCCCAAAGCAAGAAGCCAAGTCTTTGGCATCGGTGCCCTCCAAAGCCTTTGGGGGAACTCCTAGGGCAGCAGGGGTGCTGCTGCTCTTCCCAGCCTTGGCACCCCCGTTCCACCAGGCCTGACCCCTCTCTGCCTCCCCTTCACAGCTGCCAAGGGAGCAACCCCGGGCCCCTTCTGGTCTCAGGAGTCGGTCCCAGGAAAAGCTGGCCGGTGCCCAGCGGGAAGTGCCCAGCAGCCCCTGCCCTCCAAGCTGTACTGCCTCTCCGACGCCTCCTGTCCGGGGCACGAGAAGTGCTGCATCCTGGGCCGGATGAGGATCTGCGTGCAGCCTGCGTTGGGTAGGAGGGCTGCAAGGGAGGGAGGGGCTGCCTTGTGACTCACCCCCACAGGGCCCCCTTGCCAGCCTGGTTTTGAAGGCCGAGTAGAAATGGTTTGGGAGGAGAGGGCAGTGCAAACCGAGTTGGGCTCCCCGCGTGAGGGGGGGGTCAGGGTCTCAGTCGGCCATGCAAACGCTGCCTGTTTCTTATGTTCATCTCACTTTGTGGCTGCCATCCTGCCTGCTTTGGCCGTACCTGTGAACCAGGCTGGTCACATTGTGAAGGGGATGCACCACTCTGGGCCTCTTGAAGGGTGGGGGGAGGGCTTCTGACCCCATTGGCAAAAGGACTCGGTCTCTCTCTGCCCAATGCCGGGCCAGGCCAGCCTCTCCCGGGGCTGGGGGCAGGAACAAACAGAGCCCAGGGCGCTGGGGTGCAACCTGCGTCCCAGTCTAGGACAGGCCAATAGGGACCTTCTCGTCTACCCCTTCTCTTACAGTGAACCCCGGCTACTGCCCCACAGCCTGCCCCACGGCCCTGGAGCCCTGCCGGGTTTATTGCCTGGATGATGCCGCCTGTGGCCCTGGGGAGAAATGCTGCCTCCAGGAGTGCCAGCTGCGTTGCGTGGTGGCAGAGCAAGGTGAGGGGGCTTGCCAGTGGTGGGGTTCAAAAAAAATTACTACCGGTTCTGTGGGCATGGCTTGGTGGGAGTGGCAGGGGAAGAATATACTGCAAAATCCCCCTTCCCTTCTCTCCCCACCCCACTAACCTGCTTTCCAGCTCTGTTCTCCTATGCAGGGCAGCCGATCAGCTGGGACTCAATGGGAGGCAGAGACTGGTGCGGCCAGTCGGAGGTGGCATTGACCAGTTCTCCAAATGACTCAAAATTTCTGCTACCGGTTCTGCAGAACCGGTCAGAACCGGGTGAATTCACCACCTCTGGGGCTTACCCTGGCTGGGGAGAGGGAGGGTCTCCTGGGGGAGGGGGGCGAGGGAGAGGGGCAGCTGCTGTACCAGCTAGCTCAGGGTCAAGACCCGTAGGGCAGGCACCCACCCTGGGCCAGCTCTGCTCATCCCTGGCATCTTCCTGTCTCTGCTGCAGCCCGACCAGGCCTGTGCCCGAGGAGGAGGGTGCTGCCCAGCGGGAACCCCTGCCCAAACCAATGTGAGGAC